GGTTTAAGAGTTTTTAAGAGTTTTAAGCGTTTTTAAGAATTTTAAGAGTTTTAAGAGTTTTTAAGAGTTTTAGCCAAATGCTTTATAATATAGTATAGTATAGATAATGAATATTAAAATATCTAAAATCTGTTGGAGTTAAATGCAATTTTTTTCGAGATTTTGACTTTACTTTCTTTACTTTAGAGAAATTATAAATAGTCTATTAGAGACGGTCTAACTTTTTTATAAATCGAGTCTTTAGATGCAATCACAAATATGTTAGCATGCGAGTTTATTAATATAAAACGATATTTACTGCGTTATAAAACATGGGATGAGAGTGAGAGAGAATCCTGAAAAAATAAGGAATTGAAGAATCCATCAAAACCGTTAATTGATGTGATCAAATGAATAGCATTAAAAAGATGGTTGTAACCACTTTAAAAAAATACAAATATTTTCTCCTAATTTTTAGATCAAAAACAACAAAAATTGAAATCCAAACAAATCATGCCAAAAAGTGATCACTTTATTATCTTTAATTTGACATTCATTTTGATATATTTTTTCATCCTCGTTTTGTTGGTTCTCCAATTCTCTTTTTAGAGTTCTCCCTATAAAATATTTACGGAATTAAATTATACAAGTTCAATTACAAAGATGACGTTGAGTCTTACTAACACACATAATACTCCATAAAATTGATCACCAACCAAAAACTCTTTCTTTATATTGAAACCGAGAAAAATTCGTAGAATAAATTGGAGAAAAGGAAGAATAAAACGAAATATGAGTAAATGAGTAATGAATTAGAGTTCGAGTATTCAACTTCAAAATAAATGTTATATTGATGCTCTTCTAAAGGTTGGATTTCGGTGAGAATGAAAGTTATGGTGAGAAGGATAAATGTAAGAACCCAAAACTTTTAAACAACCAAATCTCCATAATCAAAGGCCAAACCAGCACCAATATTCGACAGAGTATAAGATTCATCATTACATCTCAATAGTTTGCAGTTGGAAAATACGAAATTTTGTAGTTTAGAATTTTTACTAGACTAAGGATAAAGGAAAACCTAGTCGACTAGCCATCACCACTAGGACCACATCTTCCATTTTCCTTTTGAACTACTTTTAACCTGGAGCTTACCTGAAAATGGTTTTATATGAAAAATGAGGGTTAGACCATAAGGTCAAGTGAATTCCCTACATCACATTTCAACATTTATAATCAACAGAAAAAGGTGATAAACCAACATTGGAAACATATCATACTCATTTAACATTAGAGCACATTCTCATCTCACGAATATTGCACAACATTTGTAGCAAACCCCGTCACAAGACCCCATGACAAAAATAGTAATCATTCTAATGTACTCAAGAAACAAATTCAAGGCACAGAGACCATAACTCCCAAGAGGTATTACTACCTTAAGGTACCTACACTATTTGTGCAACTCCACACATCCTACATAGCCACATATAGTTAAATTTTATAAACCCTACGAGTTGATAGAATTTGCATATAAAATCATTTATGCATGAAACCCTAATCAATGCTCTAAAACATTCAGAAAACGTTCAAGAGTTATAAAATTTAGTGTAACAGAACTCACTTGACGTTTTGTACTCCTCCCCAAGTCTAACGGCTAGAAAACTCAAACTAAACGCCTGAATTAACCAAGTTAAGAGAAATGTTAACTCAACTTAAACTCTCAAGATTTATTCTAATATAATCCCCTAAAGAACGTCTAGAATGATGGATCAAACCCCAACTCACACCAAGAGACGAAGCAGACGAAGTTGCACAACACCAGTGGCTTATGCGACTTGTGCTGCAACCTAGGTCACGCGTCAAGGCATGCAACACACTGGTTCATGTTGTTTCGTCCCTGCAATGCATTTCATCCCTAAAACTCAAATTCAACCATAGAATGATGATTTCCAAAAATTAGATAATCAACTAGAACCATAATGGAACTTCCTAAAGTATTCCTAAGCCAAACCTAATTTAACAATCGCTACTAGAATCACAAAAGCTCCAATTAAATCATGAGGTTCATCATCCATGGAGTTTTCCACTTTCAAATCCAATTTACCTAAGTGAAAACCCACATGATTACGATAAAAGAGTTGAAACAAAATTAAAAAAATCGAGGTAAATCTTCCACAAATCATAATTTCTCACCAATAAAAAATCTAGCGCCAAAAGACATATAGAAGCCCTAGATCTCCCAAAAATCAACAAGAACTCCATTAATGGAGGTTTAAGGCTTAGGGTATGGAGGTTTTACCTTTAAAAAAATGATTCATCCCTTTGATTTCTCTCGAAATCGGCCAAGAGTTTCCAGTGCCTTCTTCTTTCTTCGTTCTCCCAAAACACATACACACTCTAGTGTGTCGATTACCAAGGTTGAAATGAGAGAGTCCCTCCCATTTACCCCCTTTATTCACAGCTCTAGCCCATAGAGAAAAGGGAAAGTTACGCACCCAACCCAAACTTATATAATCTAGAGTGAAAGTGGGTTATTACAGTAACAAATGGATCTCCATCCTTGGATAAATCCTAATTGCAGATCAACACAAAGAGATGGATTTATTCCCTTATCAAGCACAATTCATAAGGCGGGGTGAGATTAAAAATGATAAGTGATCCAGATTTCTTCTTACGCTTCTCACTTTAACTTGTATTCTCAAATGATCCTTCGTCTACACTTCTAATATGAGTGACGAAAGATTCTGTGAGAATAAGAGTTTTGGTGAGATACATAAAAATGGATTTGGAGCCTTGATCACTTTTAATCTCACCCCAACCTATGAATTGCACTTATCACATGAATTGATCTGGTACATCTCGGTGCACCACATTGATGTTGATCTTCAATTAGGATTGATCGAAGGTGGAGATCATTTTCTTACCTTATCACCATAACTTTCATTCTAACTAGAATCCAGTCCTTTTTTAGCATGCATATGTAATTATCTAACAAAACAAATTAAGATATTGTTGTATTTCATTTTTTATATCTAAGCGGAAAATGTTGTTAATAACGTATACACTAATCGAAATTTTCACTATGAGAATACCAGAGATCTTCCTATCTGTTTTCCAAACCTTCATCCATTCATTCAATTAATGGAGATATACACAAGCTCATATAGACATACATAGTCAAAAGATTTAACATTATTTGCAATTTGGATTCGATTTAAGTCAAACTATAATATTGAAAACGAAAAAAGAAAAATACAATACACACACACACACACACTATATGTGGCATTTATTTGAGAATCCATAAAATTGTGATAATCTTAAAAATTAATACATCATGCGGTATTTTATATGATTTCTTTTTCATCTAAGACTTAGATTTAAAATATTGATTAACATACATTTATTTCACAGTATGAACATTTTTAGCCTTTTTGTGAAACGAAAGTTGCACGTAAAAAAAATTCACATTATGAACCGAATACATTTAAAGCAAACACAATGTGAAACAAATATATGTTCATTAATACATTAACTACTAGCCTTAGGTGGAAAAAAAATCTCATGCAACAAATCTCTAAGGTAAAAGTTCTCATGATTATTACAATATATAGAGTTCGATCTAACTAGATTATGCCCCTAGATGTAAAGACAAAAGACCGTGTGAGAATATGAGTTAAAGTGAAAAATATAAAAAGAGATTTAGACCCTTGATCACTTTTAATCCCAAAAGAACTCATGAATTGCACTTTAGATTGATTTAGCATATCTCATTAATTTTAATCTAATAATTCATTTCAATTAGAATTAATCCAATGATGGAGATTCCTTCTTACATTTTTCATTAAAAAATTTAATTCTAACTGGAACCCAACACCCTCCCCCCTCTCCATAGAATTCTTATAAATCATAATCGATGCTTATTTTATGAAATAATTGAGATATTTATGATCAATTATCACTGTTTAATAATTATGATTGAGATATATATAAAAATGATAAGATTCATTCATTTTAATCATGGTTTAAATTAAAAAATAAATAGAATTATATATTTATTAAACTAGATGAATGAATAAGATGATTAAATCAACCATTTTGACTCACCCATGAAATTACTGCTATAAATACTTGATTTTTTTCTTAATTAAATGTTCACATTTAATCCATTTTACTTTTTTTTTTCAAATGCATATATAAGACAGATTTTACTGCGCAAATGGTTCGACAATATTCTTGTTGCCAGTCAATAGTCCAATCAGTTTAATTTGCGGTGACGTGGAATACTCACATAGACCAAATTTTGGACCACATCCACTTGGATGTGCAACCAACGGTCATAAATTTGGATTAATTATATCAATCAATTCACTTTTTATATGGAATTTTTTTTCAAGCAATACGTACAAAATTATATACTTATCAATATAAAACAACTCGGGTCTACGTATAACCCACGTAGCGTCTTTTAGTTGGATTTTTCATAAATGATAAAATTATATAAATATCCTTTTCACGTGTCATTTTCGTTTTGTTATAATAGAAATTTGGGCATACAGAGTTCGGTTTAGAAACTTGATAGATTGATGATGTTTATTTTAATTGAAGTCATTTTGCTTTGCCAATTAATCAACCGTTTGTAGCTGATTGTAGCTAAAGATGTTTGAGCTCTTGTTTGGTTTATGCATATATAATGTGCAGTTACTTCACGTCAAAATAATCAGTTATTAGAAATTGGTATTTGTGTCTTGGTTCATACTTCACAACGACAAGGAATGTGGTCCTTGCCCTCGTGACACTTACCCTATCCCTGGCTTTGGCGGTTACGGGGAGCCGAATTCCCATCCTTGCTAAAAAATTAGGTCTATCCGCAGCCCATCCCCGTGTTACCTGTACCAACGTCCCATCCACGTAACCAGCTGGATTTTTTTTTTTTTTGATAAAAAGTGCAAATTTCGTCAAACTTTCTGACAAATTCTAACACCAGACAACCCTCATATTGGGATGGGCCAATTTTTTTTTTATCGATGTTAACATATTTTTTCCTAACAAGTGTGGTACGAGGTGGGTTTGGGAATGCTTTACCCGACCCCAAGTCCCGTTTAACGAGGAATCCACATCCTTGACCAGGACGGAGGAACCAGGTTTCCCGACGGATCGGAGCAAATCACCATACCTAGTTATATCTGTTTTCATTGGATTAAATTTATCGTATTTAAAATAATTCTTTTAGGAACCAGGAAATAACATTATGCTAACATATCTGCAATCACTAAAACAATGTTTTGGGGAATATTTTTGTAAATGCCAAACGGTTGATTATTGGTACAATACTCTTGTACGCATACAAGTTGTGTATGTCATGTACCATCGACATGTATAATTCATTACTATTATGAACATTGATTCGAACTATTAACAACTATATCTCAATAATATTATTTTGTTTTGAAAAACCCAATACAAACTATAAATTTGATTCTTCTTAAAAGTAACGTATTTTAATTTGATTCCTATAAAATTTAAGAAATCAAACGAAGTTGGTGAATTTTTTTTTCCGATTAACCTGGATATCCAACCCGCTATGTCAGCCGACTAATCCCAGGACGACCACCTGCTTTACATGTAGCCCGGAGTCACCGCATTTGAACCTCTGTAATCACAATGAGATTTTTGTTTCTTCTTGGATTTGAACATATAACCTCCTGGCAATCTTCTAGTAATTTATTCACTAATATCTACAAGTAAAAGTCAAACTCATAACATGTTGAAGATTCAAAATGAATTTCAATAATTTAAACAATTGTATAATGTCAATAATTTAATGGAAGACAAACCCCTGAATTTAAAATCTTGATGCACTGTTCAAGCATTGAATTTGGAAGACAAGTGACTTTTTGTGAGTTGGACCTAACAATGAGAATGAGGCCTTATGTACAGAGAATAGGGAGCTCATGAGCACACACTAACAAGACATGATGGCCCATTTTCCAAGGTCATTTTGCAAAAGGGAATAACTCATGGGGTGCTTCCCTTTGGCTTCACATACAAACTTTTAAGCTTTAAATAATTACATTTGTCCCCTTAAACTATTCCTTCATGTCTTTTTTACACCACAAAACTTTTATTGCTCAAGACATCAAGCTTTGATGTACAATAATTGTAGCAATCAAATTGCATTCCCTCTTGAAAGGTGGTGTTTTTTTTTTGTCCTTGTAGGCCCCGAATTTTTGTTTATGCCGCAAAAAGTTGGTAAGTGGATGTTACGAGTAAATGCGTTAGGGCTTAAGAATCAAGTTGTGAAACTCACGAGTTGACTCTTTAAAATAGAAAATACTTTTGTTGTAAAATGGGTATATGATGCCACCCTCTACAACCTACCTTGTCGTACTGGTAGCATTACCATCATGTGGGAGGTAAATCGTGTTTCCTAGGGGCTGGTGGGTGGTCCCGGAAATCGAAGCTCATATCTCCCAGCCGTTATGTATGTATGTCAACCTATTTACCCGTTAGGCTAAAAAACGTTGAAACAAAAATAGTTGAAAATTTTAAGCAAAAAAACTTAGAAAATTTTAGAAGAAAATACAAAATCAGCATAAGTTTAAAAACATAAGTGTATAACAAGTCCAATAAAAGAAGTAAGTGAACTTGGATATGGTCAAATTATCTGACATTGGATTATAAAATTGATTTTAGAAAATCCACTGTATCCATTTCAATTTAAGAACCAGAGGATACGGTCAGATTTATACGAGAACAATAATTAAACAAGATAGTAAAAAATAGTCGAATCACATGTATATTACACTAAAATCACTTGTAAAATCACACTGATTCTCAAGTTGTAGGCCACGTCGCCTACACACCCTCATGTTAACTGCTACGGTAAAATACATGTAATTTTACAAGTAATTTGACCATTTTCATATTCTTTTATTTAATTACTTTTGTTTTTTTTAATCTCCGTCCTAGAGATATGTAGCTATATTCTTTATAAAATATGAAAATTATATTAAAAGTTATTTTGATGAATATAATATGGGTCGATGGTAGGACTACCGACTTAGTCCAATGGAGCTTGAAGCATGTCTGAATGCAGCCATGGCAGCAGAGCCCATTAGAGAATCAAAAAATGGGCCAAAGGGAACTGTGGGTTAGTCCAACTCATGTGAGGTAATAAGGTTTGTGTTTTTAACCACAAGGGTGGTGTCTGATTGGTTTGAGCTTGACTACAAAGGTTAAAAGTGTCAGGAGGTCCCAGGTTCAAATCCAAAGATAAACAGAAATCCCCTTGTGGCCACGGGGGTTCAAATGAGGTGACTCCAGGCTACCTGTAAAGCAAGTGGTCGCCCTGGGATTAGTCGGCTCGCATAGCGAGTTGGATATCCTGGTTAATAAAAAAAAGGTTTGTGTTTCTGGGATCGGTTGTCGGTTCGAGTTTTGCAAAACTAC